CCAATCCACACACTGTGTGTAACCCGATGATAGTACACTGAAGTAAACATTCTTCAAGGTCTGCATTCAGCTGTTGAATAATATTGCTCTTTTGCAATTATTCATAATACCCAACAAGATCCTAACCACAAACAGCTACATTACTGGAACTGTTTAGTATACAATGAACTTTAGTTTCCTAAAAATATACTGTTTCCTTAGTATACTGTCCATACTTCCTCTCCCACCCTCAAATTGTTACACAAGACACTGAGTTAATCCCTGGATCAGTAGCACGATAAACATTATCTCCAAGACCTTAAATGGCTTATCTAGAATGATTGTGGCATTGCTCCTTACAGACGCACTGGCACAAGATAGAATAAAAGAATCACTAGAATATCAAAATAAGTGGCATTTTAATGACTATCATGAATGCAATAAAAGCCAGTATTTTAAATAGTGGGCTAAAACATAATATGTTTTTATCTAGTGGATAAAATATGAGGAAGAACTGAGATGATTTCCATGACAATTCCCCCTCCCTTGAAAGGTAATATAAATCTCTAAAAATAAAATCTATATTTCAAAAATAGTTTTGACTTTTCCCAAGAATAATTAAATAAGCAGTAGTAATTGTGAATATAAGCAACTGATAATGTCCAAAGCACCTGGTGCTCCATTAAGCATCTGCCAGGGAAACAGATGGCAAAAGACATGCCTTCTACCTCTCCAACAGGAGAAGGAAGTTCTAAAATTCTATACACACTGCCTTTGAGGACAATGTCAACAGCCTGGTTCAGTAAATACGGCTCCTCAGATTAAGATATGTACTAAAAATTTGCAGACTAGCAAGTGAGGCACAGGCCCGGGTCCACAACTGGCTGTGACTGAAACCCCCTTAGCTTCACTTTCTTCATGTGTAAGATGAGGATAATACAGTCTCCTTCACCCGCTAGTTGTAAGATTAAATGATGCTACATAACGGAAAATATTTAACAGACCTGGTACAGAGCAGGCATTGAACATTTGCCTTCCAGTTCCTCATGCTATATTAGCATAGTCAATAAGTGCATGCCTCATTAGAAAAAAAAGGTTATAACATTTTTTAAGCCTGGGATTTGCAAAACAGGTTCTAAAATAACTCCTCTATAACTAGATTTCTCTGCTGTGATACTCAACTTTAAAGTTACTAAAAAGTGTCTAGTGGGTCTAACATCACCGTCTGCCAACCTACTGCACTCAGAATAACACTTCAAAATATACTCACAGATCGACTGCTCAGATTAGAGAGAAAATTCTATTCACAACTGCAATATGACACTTACAAGAAACAGATCACAGTGCTGTATGAAAATGTCCTTTTGAGATTGTAAACATTCTGACAAACATGCTACATAATCAGTGCAGCAAACAATAAATGAAATCAAAATGAGTATTTTCCAGCAGCCTCTTGCATTAGAAAGGTATTGAGGGAGTGAGAGAGAGAGAGAGAGAGGAGCATGCATGGAATAGGGAGTTTATACACAGTAATAACAAGATACCTTATCCTAGACCTTAAGAGTGCACAAAGTGACTTATGGAAGTAATTAAAAAATTTCTTTGCATTTATTTATCAATAATTATTATTAAAACAACCCAGTAAGTAATACAGACATATAGAAGTTAAGTCTATTGTTAGAATGATTCCCTTTCCATGACATAAATTAAGGCACAAATATGGGAAGAAGAAAATGAGTATCTGCACTAGAATTTTTTTTTTAGGGAGAGGGAAAGAGAGAGGAAGAGGGAAGTAGAGAAAGAGAAAAACATCAATTTGCTGTTCCACTTATTTATGCATTCACTGGCTGATTCTTATACACCCTTGACTGGGGATCAAACCCACAACCTTGGAGTATTGGGATGATGTCCTAACCAACTGAGCTACCTGGCCAGGACCTACAATATACTTAGCACAAAAGACTTTTAAATAGCACTTGCCTATTTGAAAACATTTATTTATGTTTTCAAACAAGCAAATGCTATTTTAATCAGGACTATATTCATTGCCCCGTGGTGATTAATTTTGTGTCAACTTGGCTATGCCACAATAACCAGATTTGGTCAAATATTCTAGATATTTTTGTGAAGATTTTTTTAGTTAAGATTAACATTTAAATCAGCAGAATTTGAGTAAAGCAGATTATACTCCATAATGTGAAGAGACTCATCCAATCAACTGAAAGTGTTAATAAAAGAAATGTTAAAAATGACAAGAGGACCATCTTGGAGGAAGAGGGAATTCTGTCTCTAGACTGGAACTGCAACCCTTCTCTCGATCTCCAGAATTTGGACTTGCCAGCTTTCACAATTATGTGAGCCAATATCTTAAAATCTCTCACTCTCTTTCTCTCTATACACACAGACATGTGCACACACACCCCTCACATCCTATTGCTTCCTCTTCTCTGCAGAACCCTAATATAATAACCCACACACCATCAAATTCAACTCTCATCACCAATTACATACAATCACCTTACCCTCTCTTTTATACCTTATGTTTTGATAAAGTGATACCTCAATAAAAAACAATCTCCTTAATCATACAGTTAGCAGAGTTGATAAGAAATAGAACATCTTTCAAAAACTACTTGTCAAACCCAGCAGGTAGCTAGTGTCTTCCAAATACGTCTTTCTGGCGGGCTTCCAGGGGTCTTCATGCACATGGTTCTCTCAGTGGCTCCCGTTCTGTTTTAGGCCCCTTGTCAGCGCGTCAGGTCCCTGGTTAGTCTGCTGACTTTAATGCGGTGTTGAGAACCTCCAGCAAGGCTGGTATTTCGCTTTTTGTATCTCTTCAACTCCAGAATTCCATTGGGTTTTTCTATAATTTCTAACTCCCCAGTGAGATTCTCTATTTGTTGAATCACCGTTATCATATTTTCCTTTAATTTTAGACACATGGTTCATTAAGTTCTCAAAAAATATTTCTAACAGCTGCTTTAAAAATTCTTGCCTGTATAATTTAATGGTGGAGACAATCAGAAACAGCTTCTACTGCCTGCATTTTTTGTCACTATATCACACTTTCCAGTTTTTCTGGCCATGTGTCATACATAATGTTATCTTGAATACTAACCATTTTATGTAACATGGTATAACAACTCTGGAAATATGTCTTCCTCGAAAATGTGGAGTTACTAAAGCCTCTGCTTGCTTGGTCTTACTTTTGTTTTGTTTTTATTTTAAAGCCTGGTTTCCCAGGGTTGCTCCTGTGTCTATCTATGTAGCTTAGTGGTCAATAATTGGCTTATGTAGCCAACATTCAACAGAGAATTTGCTTCAATACTCTAACTCTGTATAAGGCTGTTATCCTTTCCAGAAAAATCTATGTGTGGACAGGAGAACACATTCAACATCCAGAACATTTTTGAGTCTCCCAGATTTTAGTTTCCCCTGGACCTTTCATAGACCCTTTGCACATACATAAAGCCTCAGTTAAGACTTTAGGCAACAAGAGCCACTGCCCTCACAACTCAAGACTGTAACTTCCATGGACAATACTGCTGGGCAGGCAACACATGAGCATCTTCCGAGCACAGCAGGGAAAGTGCCATTCCTCGTGACCTTCTCCACTCTTGAATAACCAACCATGTTGCAAGGAGAAAGGGTAGAATGTGATAGGAGCAGCTCCACGCATGAATGCCACAGATTCCCACTGTTAGTCCTCAAAGTTTACTACTTTCTCAAACATAAACAATTTTCAGATTGCTGTAAGCAGTTGGTTGAGTTCCAGAGCACTGAAATGGTTGGTTTTGTCTGTTTTGCAGATAATATCAGTGCTAAGTCATAAACCTCCATCATTCTTAAGTGTAGGTATACCAGTCTCTTCTACTGCTATGGATTTATAAGCTACTTTGGAAGTCCTTACTCTTCTACGTGTACTGTGAAGCATTCCTGCCTTGGCAGGGTGGCTCAGCTGGCTGGAGCATCCTCCCTTATACCAAAAGGTTGCAATTCAATACCTGGTCAGGGCACACACTTAAGCTGCAGGTTCCATCCCCAGTCGGGGCACATAAGGCACACAAATGATTGATGTTTCTCACTCACATTGATGATTCTCACTCACATCGATGTTTTTCTCTCTCTCTCTCCTCCCCCTCCCTTTTCCTCTCTCTGAAATCAATAAGCATACCTCAGGTGAGGATTCTTTTAAAAACTTTCCATTCCTTTAGATCCAACATATACTGCACCTTCTTCATGAGGCCATTTCCCCTTATTTCATGCGCACTGATCTCTACCTTCACTAAATCCCTATTATACATCATTATTTCATAATTAGTTTCTGTGTCCTATACACCTTGTTTTCAAGCCACATCCTTAAATTCTGGGGACAAGGAATTGGACTTTCCTGCTTTTGCATCTTTATCCCATACATATACATCAGAATTCCCCAAACTCCAGGCCACAAACAGGCATCGATCCAGGCCACACAGCTGGAGGTGCGTTTGAATTCAATGAGCTTGAATCATCCCAAAACCATTCCCCCCAAGCACCAGTCTGAGGAAAAATTGTGTTCCACGAAACCAGTCCCTGGTGCCAAAAAGGTTGGTGATCGCTGCTGTAAGTTATTCCCAACTTCAACCCCCAAATTTACACTTATACACTTAAAACACATGTAGTCAAACTATTTACCTAGAATGCAAATTAAGATCTAAGATCTAATCATTCTATACCATTAACACATTTTTCCTTTCTCCACTGCATCCATGATCTAAAGTGCACACTATGAGCTAAGAGCACATGATAAGGACTACTGGTTGTCAAGCCTAATACCCATTTTAATCACCTTCCATACTACCAAAAGTATAATAATTTCCCAGTGTTCATCAGAGCGAGGAGTTTGAGTTGAAGAGATGCACTAACTGAAAAAATAGTAGTCATCTCAAGTTCATTAGGGAAATGGGTGATCAAACTTCACCCTTTGAAATAACAACATAAATTTTTAATAAAGCTTCAAAGAATTTTTAACATTCCCTTACCCAGAGGATCCAGTGCTCTTACAAACTCCAAGGAGGGGCCTTTTTTCAGCAAAGCTGTCACACTTTTGAGCACCTGATAAGGAACATAAAATGTAAAACAAAACTTTCAGAAGTATTCTTATATCATGCCCAGTATTTTCATGCTCTCAAAATATTTACAGCTAAAGACATAGCAAAATATTCATTATAACTTGATATAATTTATACATTTGAATGAGCACAAAACAGAAAAGGTATAAATAAATCTATTACTAGTTTTAAAAATTGAACCTGCTCTTAAAATCTTTTTTAAATTTTTTTAAATTAACTTAAATCTTACATACATATTCTCCATGAGATAAAATCATGTCCATCTCTACTAATTAATTACCTAGAGCTAGTATAATCTTTATGTCAAAACTAAATAAAGGTAGTTCAGGACAGGAAAATAATAAAATTATAGGCCATTCTCAGAACACATAAATGTAAAAATCCTTTAAAAACTGAAAAAGAGACTTCCAGTACAAGATGGAGGTGTAGGTAGACATGCTTTGCTTCCTCACAGAACCACAAAAAGGAATTACAACTGAATCTCAAAACAAATATCACCCAGAATTGTTAGAAAATCAAACTGTCTGAAAGTCCAACAACCAAGGGTTTTAAAAAAGCCACATTCATCCAGATGGGTAGGAAGGGCTGAGACACAGAGACAGGATGGAGAGGCTGTGTGGCTCAGAGAGGCAATGGCAGCGGCCAAATGGGCACAGGTGATCCCACATTCAGATGCAGTGGATAAAAACTGGGAGGGATACTTGAGAGTGACTGATCCCAGCTCCAGGCCATGCCGCACAGCCCAGTGTTCCAACGTCAGGAAGATAAATCCCTGTAACTTCTGGCTGTAAAAACCAGTGAGGGCGGGGGCAGTGGAAGAAACTGCTGGATTATTAGGAAAATTCATTTAAAGGGCCCACTTGGTCTTAAAATGTATGCAAACCCACCCAATCTGGGATTCAACACCAGGGCAATAGCTGGAAGGGTACCAGTTGCATATGGACCAGGGCAATAGCTGGAAGGGTACCAGTTGCATATGGGACGTGGGTGAAGTGACTTGAAACGATGTGAGTGCCAGGCAAACCCCCAGAGGCCAGGCAGCAGCACAGTCCCCTCTTCCAGCCTTCCCCCAACACAGAGCCACAAAGCAGTGAAGTGGGTTGCCCCACCCTGACTCCTCAAAAGAAACTTTGCAGGCAAGAAGAGACCAGCAAGAAGTATTCAAAGTGATGAAAAGCAAGGACATGCAACCTAGATTACTCTATCCAGCAAAGCTATCATTTAGAATTAAAAGGCAGATAACTGCATCCCAGATAAGCTAAAGCTAAGGGAGTTCATCATCACCAAGCCATTATTAAATGAAATGTTAAAGGGACTTATTTAAGAAAAAGAAGATCAAAACTATGAACATTAAAGCAGCAACAAATTCACATCAACAACTGAATCTTAAAAAAAACTAAGCTAACAACCAGAACAGGAACAAAATCATAGAGGGGTATGGAAATCATTTGGAGGGTTATCAGTGAGGAGGGAGAAAGAGACAAATGTGGGAAAAGCAGGAATTAAAAAGCATAATTGGTAGGTACAAAATAGACAGGGGGTGATAAGAATAGTATAAGAAATAGAGAAGCTAAAGAACTTACATGCTTTAAGTTCTTTGTTGGAAGGAAGGGGCATACTAGACAGAGGGGGATAAAGGAGGGAAAACTGGGACAACTATAATAGCATAATCAATGAAATATACTTTTAAAAATTAAGTATAAAAATGAAAAATAAAAACAAACACACACAAATGCACTTACCAAATATACCAGAAATCACAATACTGGGCATATATCCCACAGAAATAAAAGCTGTGTCCACACAAATTTGTGCACAAATAATCATAGCAGGTTTATTTGTAATAGCCAAAAAGTGAAATCATCACAGATGTCCTTCAACATATGAATGTTATCTCCATACCGTGTAATACCAATCAATACTATAAAGAAACTGTTGATATACTGTAATTGGATATACCTCAAAAACATCATCTACATGAAACAGCTGATCTCAAACCTTCACGTAGTATGTAATTCCAGTTATGGAACAATCTTGAAATGACAAAGTTATTATAGAGATGGAGAACAGATTGATGGTTTCCAAAGGTTAGGGCTGGTGGAAGGAGACCACATGAGGAGGACTGCTGTAACGATGGAACAGATCTGTATCTTGATTGTATCTTGACCCAAAAGTCACAGGTTTGATGCCTGGTTAGAGCACACCCCTGGGTTGTGGGCGAGGTCCCAGGTTGGGGGTATGTGAGAAGCAACTGATTGATGTTTCTCTCACACATTAACATTTCTCTCCCTCTCTTTCTCCTGCCTTCCCCCTCTCTCTAAAAATAAATAAATAAAATCTTAAAACAATAAACAGGAAACTCCTTCTAGGACTGCTTTAATATTATTTTTCTATCATATTAAATAATTTGGTTTTTGTTCTTTTAAGGTACATGTCCAAAGAGAAAGAATACATGCCACAGACTAGAATAAATATTTGCTAAAGATGTATCTAATAAAGGACTGGTATACAAATTACACAAAAATACCCTCTTAAAACTGGACAATAAGAAAATAAACAACTTGATTATAAGCATGGGGAAAAACACCTAAACAGGCACCTAAACGAAAATGATAAACCAGTGACACCTAAGCATATGAAAAGATGCTCCACATTTAGGTCATCAGAGGAATTCAAAATGAAACAACAATGTGATACCACTACACATCTATTAAAATTAGCCAAAATCCAAAGCAATGACTATACCAAATGCTGGCAAAAATATGGAGCAACAGAAACTCTCATTCACTGCCAGTAAGAATACAAAGTGGTACAGCTGCATTGGAAGACAATCTGCCTGTTCCTTACAAAACTAAACACTCTTACCACATGATCCAGCAATCACACCTTTTACTATTCACCGGAAGGAGTTGAAAAACTTTGTCCCCACAAAAACCTATACATGGATGTTTACAGAAACTTTGTTCATAGTTGCCAAAACTCAGAATTAGCCAAGATGTCCCTCATTTGCTAAATGGATAACTGGTACATCCAGGCAATGGAATATTATTTGGGACTAAAACAAAATAAGCTATCAAGGCATGAAATAACATGAGGGAAACATAAATGCAATGCTTAGTGAAACAGAAAAATCCACCTACTACATGGTTTATCTATATGATATTATTTTTTAAAGGCAAAACTGTGAAGACAGTAAAAGATCAGTGGTTGTCAGGGGTTTGGAAGAAGGAGGGATTAACAGCTAGAGCACGGGTGATGTTCAGGACAGTGAAACCATTCTGTATGGTACTGCAATGGTGGGTACACCTGGCATTAGTCATTTATCAAAACCAAGAGGGAACTCTAATGTAACGTGTGAACTTTGGATGATAGTGATGCATCCATGTAAGAACCCATGTGGAAGGATGTGAATAGTGGGAGACGTGTGTGTGCGGGAACAGGAGTATACACAGGAACCCTCTGTGCGTTCCATTAAATTTTGCTGGATAACTAAAACTGATCTTCAAATACTATTTTACAAAAGATGTACCAAACTCTTCAACACCCATGTTCACTGCAGCATTATTCGCAATAGCCAAAAGGTGGAAGCAACCTAAATGTCCATTGATGGATGAATAGAAAATTAAAATGTGGTATATACACATAATGAAATATAACCTAGACTTTAAAAAGAAGAAAACTTTGTCAATGCTACACATGAATGAATCTTGAGGACATTATGCTAAGTGAAATAAAGTTACAAAAAGACAAATAGTGTATTGTTCCAGTAATCTGAAGCTTCTAAAGCAGTCAAACTCATAGAAACAGAAAGTGAAATGTTGTTTCCAGAGGTCGGGGGTGGAGGAGGAAATAGAGAGCTGTTTCACAATGGGGACAACACTCCAGTTTTCTAAACAGTGAAAGTTCTAGAACTCTGTGACTGTATTTTAACACTACTGAACCACACACTTAAATTTTTGTAAAGATGGTAAATTTTATGTTAACACAAGTGTTACTGCAATGAAAAAATTTTGGAAAAGATACAAATAAGGTATAATTTAGTTATACACATACATAGATATTCAGTGACATAAAGGACAAATGCATAAATATAAGCACCAATTTCAAGGTAGGGATATGCCTCTTGGAGAGTTAGGATGCAGATATTTGGGAGAGACGGCCAGGGAACTCTAGCACTTCTTAAACAATGTTTCATTTCTTCACTGGGTGGTAAAATGCAACTTTAAGGTTAATACTCCATTTGAATGGATCATTCCAAAGATTTTAATACAAAGGTTTTAATACAAAGGAGACAGATTAGTGGTTACACATTTAGATTGTGACATGACATAATAGTTTTAAATTGTGAATATAGTAATTATACAAAATAAGGTAAGACCAGCTCTATCACCCCTTGACAGACAATACTATCAATACCAGAGTCTGATAAAGATCAAAACTAAAAACACAAGTAATGTTTATGAATAAAGTCCTTTACAACTTTTAAAAAATTTTTAAGAGCTATAACAATCAGTGTTTAAGTATTTACAAATCATTAATTACTACAGATTGTGTGCTGTTTACCTCGCCCCACCCCCCGCTGAACAAATAAATCAGATTTCACAATTAACAATATGACCCGAACAAGTCGCGAGTTAAAAATTAACTGGTCCAAAGCCCACAGTATTCATGTTCTGAATTAATTATAACCGAACTTCATCTATACAATCCCAACTCTTCACTCCTACCTATTTTACCTTCACTTTTAACAATAACTATTTTCCTTCTGCTTCCTGGTGTCTGCAAGATTTTTTTTACAGCTTACACCTGTATTAAACATACCAATTTGATGTGTTGATGAATGAAACATCATGGCCTTCAAGTGCAAATAATACTGCAAGAACGGTTTGGTTGTTTTGTTTTTCTCAAGCCTGACTTCAAGAACTCCACTGGTTTTGCTGACCTAATCGACTTTACACATTAGTACTGCCAGCTTTACTCTAT